TTTTTGGTTGCCTAGTGCAGTCATCTTTAACTTTTTTTAAACATTTACCTTCCAGAATTTAAAAAAACTATACATCCTTTGTGCATTTGGGGGTTCATATCTACATTGTATAAATTTAATAGCTGCAAAAGGCTGGATGTGATAGATTGATTATGCCTATAATCCCAGCACTTTGGTAGGCCAAGGGAGGAGGCTCATTTGAGGCTAAGAGGTCAAGGTCAGCCTGGGCCACACAATGAGAATCCCAACTCTACAGAAAATAAATTAAAAAAAAAAATTAGTGAAACACATCAATAGCAACTGTTACACAGAAACCTGAGATGAGAGGATTCATTGAGCCCAGAAATTCAAGGTTATATAACTAAGTCATTGCACCCAGCCTAGGTAAACAGAACAAGACCCTGTTTACAAAACAAACAAAAAAGTGCATATGATATAATACACAGCATATACTGTCCTGTACAAGTGCTTTAAAGATATTTAAAGTTGGAGGTACAGAATCAGTTCATTTAATTTAGTAAAATGACTGCCATATAACCTAATCAGCAAAGCCAGTCTTCATGGTCATATCAAACAAATCAGAATCACTTTGTCAGAAAAAAGTTGGACTTCATTTGTTCAATGTAAACATGTCCCATGACAACCACCTCAGTTCTGAATTCTAACACTAGAAAAATAAAAAGAAAAGGGGGAGGAGTCTTAGAGGAGAAAGAAAAAGAGAGGAGTAAAAGGAAGGGAGAGGAGATGACTGGAAAGGCAATGATGAGCTTGTGCTCTGACCCTCTAGTATTTCTCATAAATGCTATATACTTCTAAAATGTCTTTCTGATGTCCCTCTGAGGCTTTAACATTTAAGAACTATGTACATTTGTAATACTGAAGATAAGAGAGACCTTCCTTTTGTAAGCAGGAAAAGGGAGATTTGAAAGACAGGTAGGAAAGAAGATACAGCAGATCTAACATACGATACCACTCTCATCATATATATTAGTAGACAAGATACATACAGAAATTAAATATCTGAAAAATTATTCCCTTTAATCTTGCTGACACATACATACTAAATTATTTAAGGATGATATTAGATATCCAGGATTTGTTTTAAAATATCTGGGGTTGGGGAGAAGAAAAGAGAGTATATGGGACAGGAAGGCCCGGTTCTGTCGTTGGGCTTGGTGATAGCCCAAATTAGTTACCCAGTCTTTAAATATTCTTAGTCTAAAGATCAGTGATATTGTAAATATAATCTAAAGAAAACAAACAAATTATCACTGGCATGTCTATCTCCTCCTCTACTTGAAATTTATTAATTTTTTTCATTCTCATTATATTCATTTCAATCCCAATATATGATGCAGATAGTAACAGGAAAGCAAATTTGGCCAGGAAAAAGAAAAAATAAGGTGATACAAGGGCAGCACTATACATCTCTTAATTTAAAACTGTAATTAAAAGCATTTAATTGCAATGCTTAAAGTTAAAACGTCCAAAACAGCATATTTCCATGAAAAAGACTAAAGAAAGTATGTGTATATATGTATATATACATATATATATGAAGTGTACATATCCATACATGTCTAAAAAAAAGTATAACCACACATTGCTTATTTCATTTATGAGAACCAATACCAGATAGGATAATTCTTACCAATATGGTGTTCCCACAAAGGAATTGGCAGGAGATGCCATGGAAGCAGATCCAAAGTCAGCAAGTTTCACCTGGCCCGGTTCTGTCAGAAGGATATTTCCTGCTTTGATATCTCTGGATTTAAGGAACACAGAAAATTATTTATTTTTCCTTCATTAGATTGTGTTAATGAGAAAAAAATCAAGAATTTATAAGATGATAAATAAAAAATTAAAATAATTTATGTACTGAAACAATCTCAAAATTGGGATAAAAGAATTAAAATTCAAATAAAATGAAAAATACAGAATTCAAATAAACATACAGTAACAATTTTCCAAAAGAGAAGGCAAAGAGCAGTAAGAAACAAAAGTTAGAAAATCAGGTAATTGCAGCATATAGCTTGTGTGTGTGTGTGTGTATATATATAATTTTTTTTTTTTTTTGGAGAATCTCACTTTGTCACCCTTGGTAGAATGCTATGTCACAGCAAACTCCAACTCTTGGGCTTAAGCGATTTTCTTATTTCAGCCTCCCAAATAGCTGAGACTACAGGCATCTGCCACAACGCCCAGCTATTTTTTGTTGCAATTCTCACTGTTGTTTTAGCTGGTCAGGGCCAGGTTCGAAACCACCACCCTCGGTATATGGGGCCGGTGCCCTACCCACTGAGCCACAGGCACAGCCCTGAGTTTCTGTTTTTAAAAATAGAATTTAATTAGGCTTGGCGCCTGTGGCTCAAGCGGCTAAGGTGCCAGCCACATACACCTAAGGTGGCGGGTTCGAATCCAGCCTGGGCCTGCCAAACAACAATGATGGCTGCAACCAAAAAATATCCGGGCGTTGTGGTGAGCACCTGTAATCCCAGCTACTTGGGAGGCTGAGACAGGAGACTCGCTTGAGCCCAGAAGTTGGAGGTTGCTGTGAGCTGTGATGCCACAGCACTCTACCCATGGGGCCAGCTTGAGGCTCTGTCTCAAAAAAAAAAAAGAATTTAATTAGCAAACAGTCTCTTCAGAATGTGAAGGATTTCTGAGTATCATGATGTTTAAAAAAACAAAAGAATTTTATCTCCAAACTTGGCTTTTAAAAAAAAGGATTATTCAGATCATTACCAAACTTTAGCATAGTTCTAACTAAATATAAATGAAAACTGAAACATACGGATAATGTAATACATCAATGACACCAAATTTACTTTCAATCTCACTTTTCTGAAGCAGCAAACTACTTTCTATCCAAATTAAGAAAATTATGAAGATTTATATAGTGGGATTGTATGTCCAATGGACACTAGTATAACATACACTTAATTGTTTAAAAATTAAGATAGAAAAATTAAATCTTCCAGTACTTGTTAATTTTTACTATAGTATTTTTTTTTTTTTAAAAGAGATGGAGTCTCACTTTGTCACCCTTGGTAGAATGCTGTGACATCACAGCTCAAAGCAATCTCCAGCTCTGGGGCTTAGGTGATTCTCTTGCCTCAGCCTTCCAAGTAGCTGAGACTGCCAGCACCCGCCGCAACGCCCAGCTATTTTCTTGTTGCAGTTTGGCCAGGGCCGGGTTTGAACCCACCACCCTCGGTAAAAAGGACCGGCACCCTGCTCACTGAACCACAGGTGCCACTCATTTACTATAGTATTTTGATGCATATAATAAATGAATCTATATTCATTTCATTTGATAATTTAATTTAAAATTGCTAGGCACTTCCAAGTTGAGAAAACCTTAGGTTGTGATTCAAAAGATGCCATTCACTACTTGTAGATTTCTCTCAGACCTTATTATCCTCATCAAAAAAAAAAAAAAGATAACCCATTAACTCACAATGACCCTATTATATTATTTACTATGTACTACCTGGTTCATATATGCAAACAAAAACATGCTAATGTTCTTTTAAGACAACCACAAAAAATGCTAGTGCCAAAAATGCATTGTAAGATGGGTTAATTTCAAAGTTACTATTATGATGATGATGATTTTTTTTTTTAAGTTTTGAAATAGCATCTCACTATGTCGCCCTCAGTAGAGTGCGTGGTGTCACTGCTCACAGCAACCTCCAATTCTTGGGCTTAAGCAATTCTCTTCCCTCAGCCTCCCAAGTAGCTGGGACTGCAGGCGCCCGCCACAACGCCCAGCTATTTTTTGGTTGCAGTTGTCATTGTTGCTGGGCTCGAACCTGCCAGCCCTGATGTATGTGGCCAGCGCCCTACTCACTGAGCTTTGGGCACTGACCCTCAAAGTTACAATTACTATTAAAAATTAATGGCCAAAAGCATAAGTCTTAAGTAGCTTTATTTATCCATTTAGAATCAAAGGAACAAATCCAGCATTATCAGCTATAAGGAAAACAAAGATTTAGGTTTAGTTCCAGCTCTAATCTATTTGGCTTTGCAATATTTGGGAGATTATAGTCACAATTAGGACACTGGTTTCTTTACTTACAAAATGAAAAAGAAAGGCTATGTAATCCTTAATGCCCTTTCCAGCATGCAAATTAAATGATTCTATAAATAATTTTTTACTACAAATCCATAATGTGTACATACTTTAGAAGGCCCAGCAGCACAAGTGGGCAAAGACAAAAATTATCCTAAATAAACAGATCAAGTATAGGTTCATTTTAAGACATGGGTGATCAAAGAAAATTAGAGTTTATATGATTTTATTTAGTTATAACCAACAAAAATTTCAGGGTTGACAAATTCTATGGTTGATAAATGCAACAAGCTATATGGTTGTCAATATGTGATAATTTCCAAAGCACTTACCTGTGGATCATGGTATGAGAATGTAAATAAGCTAATCCCTGGAGAGCACCATGTGTAATTGCAGCTATTTCCACTTCTTGTAATGGCTTTTTGTGAACTTAAAGTAAGAATTTATTTGAAAATAATTACTACATAGAACATTTTTGTTTAAAAAAAATATATACATATCTAAGATATGAAAATAATTTTTAAAAACTGTTATTTAGCTAGTCCGAAGGTAGTGAGTTATCTCACTTGATTGTTGAGTCAGTTATAGATTGAACTCCTTGTTCTACTCTTTCCCCTCTTTTCATTATTGCACTTGACTAGTCTTAAAAAAACAAAACAAAACTGTTATTTAGCAGGAAAAGATTTGTTTCCCATGATGATAAAGCTATTAAGCTTTATAACTAGTACATAACTCTGTCAGCTATTAAAGTATATTTCACAGTCAATTTTCCTATTAACTAATAATTTTAAACAATTATCTGGTAACATAAAAATAGAACAAAAGTTTTCCCTTTGTTCTCACATACCATTGTTTTGAGCAGAATGACAGAAATACAGAAAAATGCTTGTAAAATCACAATGAGAGAAAACTTGCATATTTCATGCTACTATATTTAATAAAGACAGCACATACTATGCTGAGTATCTACAGAATTCTAAGGTCTGTACTCTCTGAAAAATTTTACATTATTTAGTATTAATTTAAATAATCTCTAAATTACTGTTTTATTCTGTTAATACTTTATTAATTAAACAAAACCTACCTTCTAGTAAATCTGAAGCAGATCCTAAACAATATTCCATTACAAGCTACATGGGGAAAAAAAATTATAAAAATATTAAAATATATTATCATAAAGATTCCATTTGAGATAAATTTACCTAGGAGATAAGGAGATAGTTTGAAGTAAACAAACTCTAGTCACTATTTACCTTAAGAAATAAAGTTATGTATTCAGCAATTTGCTAAATGCATAAATTTACACTAATGATATGTTAATCTTTTAATAATGTCAACATCTGATCACTTCTATAAACTATGTATTTCATATATAATTACTAATTGAAGTTATAAAGGAATGTACATATAGTGTTACTATTAACCTATAAAAACAGTGTGGATTATTGCTAAGAGGTAAAAAACTGTGTTTTCTAGAACTGTATGTACAGTCAGCCCTTATATTTCTGGTTCTGCATATGTGGATTCAACGAAATATGAATTGAAAATATTTTGAAAAATATACAAAACAATAAAAAATAATACAATAAAGCTAATATAACAACTATTTACACAGTATTGACACTGTATTAAGTAAAACATAATCTAGAAATTTAAATAATATGGGAGGATATGCACAGATTATATGCAAATATATCATTTTATATAAGGAACATGAGTATCCTTGAATTCTGGTATCCTAGGGCAAGTGGAACCAATCCCCCTAGTTAATGAGGTACAACTGTATGAAGCTTAGGTCACAGGTTAAAAGTTTCTTTTTTTTAAAGATAGGGTCTCATTTTGTCACCCAGGCTAGTGTGCCATGGCCTGATCACAGCTCACTATAACCTCCAACTCCTGGGCTTAAGTGATCCTCCTAGCTCAGCCTCCCAACTAGCTGGGACTACAGGTATGTGCCACCACACCTGCTGATTTTTCAGTTTTTTTTGTAGAGACAGAGCCTTGCTATGTTGCTCAGATTGGAACGCCTAGCCTCATGCAATCCTCTTACCTTGGCCTCCCAAAGTGCTAGGATTACAGATGTAAGCTACCACATCCAGCCTTAAATGTTTCTATTAAAGCAAACATGAAGTACCTTCTATGTGTCCTATATATATTAAACAATTTAATTAATCCTCATAGCAACCTTATGAGGTAAGTCCTATTATTTTCCTTGCTTCACAAATGAACCTAAGAAATAGAGAGAGAATCTGCCTAATATTATTGTTTTTCTTTGAGCGTAGCCTCATTTTAGGAATCATCACTACCACCACCAAAATAAACTAGAGAAAAATATATGAAACATTACAAATTAAAATCTAAGTTTACTAAAATGATAAGTAGCTGTGGCTTATTATTCAAAGTAAGGTGCTATTCCTGATAACAACAGGGTAAATTAATTTTTATTTCTCTCTTTTTTTTTTGAGACACAGTCTCACTATATTGCCCTCAGTAGAGTGCCATGGCGTCACAGCTCAAAACAACCTCAAATTCTTGGGCTCAAGCAATTCTCTTGCCTCAGCCTCCCAAGTAGCTGGGACTACAGGTGCCCGCCACATGCCCAGCTATCTTTTTGTTGAAGTTGTCATTGTTGCTTAGCTGGCCCAACCTGGGTTCGAACCTGCCAACTTCGGTGTATGCAGCTGGCGCTGTAACCACTGTACTACAGACGCTGAGCTGATCAGTTCAAATTTTACCAAAATCTTTCTGGTTAAATAGATGATAATGCATTTATGTCAAACAGATATATGTGAACTTTCAATCTCTAATAAGAGGATTATTTTTACAAGTTGGAATGGTGCTACTAAAACTGTCAGAGAACATTTTTTCATACAAATGAAAGCTAGTAGCATTCTAACAGTAAATCTGCAAATGATCTATTATCTCTAATTGTCTAAGAGTTCTAGGAAATGCTGCTGTTTCTCTTTCAGTATAAACTAAGATTTCAGATGTTTTCTGCATGCCTTTCCACAGCCAATATAAGACATTCTAAATTAATTCATTATAAACCAAAACCAACTAAAATAACGAGGAGAAAGAAGATACCAACCCATGCTGTGTGTTCTCGCAAATAACAGCCTTTGTATTCTATACTGTTGGGATGTTTTATTCTTTGTAGAAACTTGACTTCCTTAATAATATCCTGCCATTTCTGTGGGGAGAAAAAAAGGAGTAAGTGAAGGAAATTATGAATAGCTGAATTTCTGTAGGAAGTTATACAAGAAAAAAATTACTAGATTAAGAAGGGTTAACTACAACATACAATTTGCTTGATTTATAATGTTAAGATGAAATTTCAAAATAAAAAATTTAAAATAAATTATGTTCATATATAGGCATACCTTGGTTTATTATACTTCACTTTATCATGCTTCATAGATAGTGCTTTTTTTCTTTTTTTAAACAATTGGAAGGTTTATGGCCATCCTTCAGCAGACAAGACTATCGACACCATTTTCCCCATAACCTGCGCTCATTTTCTGTGTCACACTTTGGCAATTATATCACTATTTTAAACTGTTTCATTATTATTATATCTGTTATAGTGATCTGTGATCAGTGATCTTTGATATTACTACTGTAATGGTTTTGGGGAGCCATGAACTATGCCCATACAAAATGGTAAACTGCTGATAAATGTGTGTGTGTTCTAACTGATCCGCTGACCAGCTGATTCCTATTTCTCTCCCTTTCCCAGACTTTCCTATTCCCTGAGACACAGCAATATTGAAATTAGGCCAAATAATAACCAGACAATGGCCTCTAAGGGGTCAAGTGAAAGGAAGAGTTACACATTTGTCACTTGTTTTCAAATGCTACAAATGATTAAGATTAACGAGGAAGGCCAGGGAGGAGGCTCACGCCCATAATCTTAGCACTCTGGGAGGCCAAGGCAGGTGGACTGCTTCAGCTCAGGCGTTTGAGACCATCCTGAGCAAAATCAAGACCCCATCTCTACTAAAAATAGAAAAAATTAGCCAGGCATTGTGGC